ACACCTACAAAATCAGAGACCAAGCAGAAGAAAGAATCAATAAAGAGCCAAAAATTCCCGGAAACTTCACTGTTAAAAGGTATGGAAGCCCCCATTTGAACTAATCAACACTGGAAACAGACCCTTGGGGCTGAAATACCCCTGATCAACCACTTCTAGAGCTCTATTCATCATGGCAGCGAATCAAAATTCATCAACAGACTCCTGAGACTGCATGTACGTGTGGATGTGAACCCTGGGGCCAACAGCTGTCATCCAGTAGCTACCAAGAGGGATGTCCCTCGAGGTCAATGACCCCTGGATTGGGTAAGCCCAAGAATTGGGGAGTCACTAGTCTGCCAGAGGGGGATAAAGAGGCAGCAAAGAATGACCCCCAATAGCACCCTCTTTGACCTGACCAGTACCCTGCCTGTCCAGCCAGAAGGACCAACCAGCAACTCCCTTCTGCAGCATCGCACTGAAAGAAGCCTCGACTGGCCATTGACAGTGGACTCCAGCGCTTGGGGATAGGTATATCTTGACACCAGTACTTAGTGTTCAAAGCTAGCTACTGTGAGAGCGCGTGTGCGCGTTTGAGGGGATCAGCACCAAGGTTCATGGTCTGACTTTTGCATCCATCCGATAAACTAGAATTTTATGATGATCTTGTGAGGTGGTGCTTTGTAGCCAACACGTTGAAGGCGATCCGGTTTTGGTCATCGCACCTTGAGAGTGTGTCCAAGCCAGTCTATATCCCCAGCCTGTCCTGCACTGTGACCATCCCCCACCCCCCCCATAATTTGGTATCGTCCATGAACTTCACCAGTTCACATCCAACTCCCGAATCCAGATCACTGATGAAAATGTTAAAGGACTACTGGCCCAAGTACTGAGCCCTGAGGAACTCCACTGATCGCCCTGATGTCCTATACGACATCCGTGTCATCTCCCTCATCCAGAGCACGTTACCTGGTCCTAGAAGGAGGTTAGTCAGGCATGATCTGCCAGTCACAAAGCCATGTTGGCTGGCATTCAGAAGCTTGCCTTCTGTCAGTCTGATGTTGATGGATCCCTTGACAATTTTCTTGACGATTTTTTTCAGGGATGGACGCAAGATTGATTGGTTTATTTCCCTAGGTAATCCCTCCTCCCTTTCTTGTAGATAGGGACCACATTGGCTCTCTTCCAGTCATCCGGGACTTTGCCCAAGCACCACGATTTTTCGCATCTCTCTGCCCGGGGGGGGGTGGGGGGAGTTGCAATTATGTCTGCCAGCTCCTTCAAGACTATCACGTGCATTTCATCTGGGCCTGCAGACTTGTGAATGTCCAGTTTCTCAAGGTGTTCCCTCACCTGATCCACATCGATTTTAGGCCCGTTGCCTGCTCCCACCTTAGTCTGTGTTGTTCCCAACAGTGTGATCCTCCTGCAAGAGTGAAAAACTGATGCAAAAAAGTCATTTAGGAGACTGGCTCTTTTTTGGGCATTGGAAATCAGTTGCCCTGCTGGATCTCTCAGGTGCCTAATGCCATCCTTGTTCTTTTTCTGACTTCCCACATATCTGAAGGAGTTCCTCTACATCCAGCCTGGCCCTGGTGGCAGGGGGTGTGGCTCAGTCCAGCCATGTGCATCCAGCTGCCATCCTGCTCCGGCAGCTCTGCACATGCGTCCTGCCACTCCAGATCGCAGAGCCGCTGACAGTTGATCTGTCTGAGAGGGCTCAGCGTGCACTCAGCATCCCCAGATAGATCAATCGTCAGAGAGGCTCCACAATCAAACTAGTTGATCAAGATCAAATCAGTTGGGGACCACTGCTCTACATCTTTTTTAAGATGTAGAGCCCCAAACTGTGCGCAATATTGCAACTGTACCTAACCAGCATCACAGAATGGCACTACCACCTCCTGTGTCTTACACACAATAATATAAAAGCCCAAAACGCATTTTCTGTTTTGCAACCACATCAAATTAGCAATTCATGTTAAGTCCATCATCCCATCAAAACCCCTGGATCTCTCTCAAGCAATACTACCACCTCCTAGCCTGTATTTGTGCATCTTCTTTCCCCCACAACCCATGTATAGCACTTCACACATCTTTGTTGAATTTCAGTTCTAAATCACCATTAGTGCAGCTCCTGAATTTATGAAGATTTTTTTTTTTAATTCTACTTCTACTCTCCAGACTCTGCAACCTTTTCCATTTTTGTCATCTGCAAACTCAATGAAGCAGGTCTAGTCCAGGATCAAAAGTTATAGAACAGACCCTGATGGAGCCCCACCTGAAACCTCCTCTAATTCTGACCCATTTATACATGTCCTTTCTTTACAATTATTCAACCAGTTGCCTAACAGTAGTTTTTCTAATTCTCCAGTTTGCTTAGGTAAATGTCACCTGGGTCAGCATCAGAAGACTTAAAGGGTCCAGATATTATCCACTGCACTGCCTTTATCTACCAAACAATTTATCTTGCCCAAGAAAGATGTCAAGTTAGTTTGGCAAGTTTGGAGCAAGGGAAGTGTAGGCTGGATATTCAAAAGAGCTTTCTATCAACAAACGTGGTTAGGCAGTGGAACAGGCAATCGAAAGAGGTTGTGGAGTTCCCATCATTAGAAGTTTAAAGACAAGTTAGATAAACATGTAGCTGCAATGGTAGACTAGATGACCTCCTGACTTTCCTTTCAGCCCTCCTTTTCAATGATTCTATGATTACATAAACATTATATGAAAGACCTGTTTAAATTTTCATAAATTTAATCATGCATTAAAACTATAAAATGAAAGTATTAAGCTGCAGAATCTTAGCTTGGCAAGTCAACGCTGGTATTATATTTGTGTCTTTCTGAATGATTAACAAGGGGTTAAAGTAGTTATAAAGATATGAAACCTGGAATGTATCTCATCATTTCTTCAAAGGTTTGCTTTGCTCGTTTCTGTTTATCGTGGAGACAGCGAGGTTCGGTATTTTCACGAAAAACAGCATCTGAATCAGCAAAGTGAACAAAAGACATTTAAGAGCTTGTTTCCAAGACATTGTGTGCAAAAGCTGTTACTAATTTTGAATTCTCTCTTCAGAACTAGATTTTTCTCGTTATAAATTTTAATGGAAGTACGTTCCAGTCATGCTACTTCCCAGCTTGGTGCCTTCTAAGGTCATCCTGCTCAAACCCAGGAGCACCTCATTTGCCTGAAACAAAGCAGTGCTCTACCAACTCATTTCCTTTCATGTTTTTATCTCTTATGTAGAAGTTCCACTGTAAGTAGTTCTATCCCACTTACCTACAATCCCCTCTCTATTTCTCTTAGCAGGCTCCAGATTATATCAATCTGCTCTCCATTAATAATGGGGATTGCTGAAATAGCCGCCTTTTCCCTAAAGTGCTAAAAAAACGTTTTGAGCATTTTCAGTTACTCAAAGCTTTGTTCTCTTTGCATTCACCCATTCATGATCCCCCTTTTTGGGCTGAAGTTAACAGAATTAGTCTTCTCTCAAGGCATTTGGTTCGTTATGCCAATTTTTAGTCTGTAGTACACCGGTACTTGTTAGCCATTTTTGTCTGTCTTACCTTAAGGGGAATGGAATTTAAAATGCTAGTGCTAATTCATCACAAAGGGCCAAGTTCCCAAATTACAAATCAAAATTCCAAAAATCAAAATGCATTATTAACTGCATTGGGTTGATCAGTCTTTTGTTCCCATTTCCCTTTTCAGGGTGAATTGTTCAAAATACTGCATTTGTTCTATAACATATGTTGGATAGGCAGTAGGACCAAGTTAACACTGGGCAGCAGCTTTAATTTTTGGAACCCTTACCCATTTACTGGGTTTCTAAAACTTTGTTTTCCATGTGCTGTACAGCCAGTAAAGCAACTAGGCCTGTTGCAAAAGGTTTCAAGCATAAAGTTAGTCACAAAGACAGTTCAAATTGGCATTACTGCAGATTAGGTATCCACATTATTGAAAAATATTTGGAGGTGAGAAAATATTTGCTCACCTCTTAGTAGTGTTATCAATGAGACCAACCGGTGCTCCTGAAATAGCTGGTCCAATTTGTACTGTAGGTAACAGTCTGTGTACATCTCCAATGTGTTTTTGAAGAGAATTCGCCCCCCCATCAAAAGGTGATGCAGCCAATCAGGAACCCGGAAAACAACTCGACCTACATAGTGAAAATTACACACATCGAGAGTTTCTGTTAGTGTAGCACACGAACACGCTAATAAAAGCAGTTTCAGAATACAGAAGCAAACTTATTGCAGACTTATCCACCCCCCCCACATTCCTAGTCTCAACCTACAAATAATACTGCAACAAGTTCTGTTCACCTATTTACTTGTCAAGTACTGTTATAGCATTATTTATTTATATTAAAATAGCACCCTGATGACTCAGGCAGACTAGGCACACATAGGAAGACAAAGACATTCTCCAAAGCAGCTTACTCTCTAAGGACAGAAATCTATGTGGGAGTGAAAAGGATACAAACATACAAGGAAATAAGATTAAGACATTAATGGTACTATGACACCCCATAACAAACTGTAAACATGGGATTATGTCCCTAACTGACCCAGTGTTCTAAACTTAATTGATATGTGATTGTTAAAACAAAGATTTTCTGGTAGTACATATCAAAGACCCTGATGTTTTGGGTCCCCTGTTAAACTGCATGCCAAATACAAAAGGAAATTGCTTCTTACCAACATACATTAAGTAGTCATAGACTCCCTCTACTGTCACCATCTCCATAAAGTAGTTCTGGTTTTGTTTTCTCTCTGTATTCTCAGAGCGGTTTGCATTGTTCTTGAACAGATCATTGAAAAGCTACAAAACAGATGTGAACTGTGAAAACAGGAATTCAGGACAATAAAGAGTAAAAACAAAGGGAGTTCTACATTTAGAACCGGTTAAAGATTTCAGCTTCTCTCTACACAGCTTATTTTCCAATTCCTTTATCTTCATCACTTGCTTCTGTGCTCTCTCCAGTTTATCTACATTCTTTTTAAACTGTGGTGCCCAAACTGGACACAGTACTCCAGGAATGATGCACAGAAATTTCAGTTCACTCCTTATGTTCCTATATGCCTCTGTTGGCTGTACTCTCTGGGCAAACTATATCTCCCATGATATACCATGGCTAGAAACTTGTCTGATGCGTCTCTCTCTCTCTCACCAAAGGGAGAAAGTGATTCATCATGAGACTGCAAGCATACTGAGTGTTTATAGTTTCATAGTTTCTGGGGTCGGAAGGGACCGGAGCAGACCATCTAGT